CCCAGCACTCAGGAGGCAGAACCAGGCAGATCTTTGTGAGTTCGAGGCCAGCCTGGTCTACAGAGCAAGATCCAGGAAAGGCGCAAAGCTACACAGAGAAACCCTGTCTCGAAAAACCAAAAAGAAGATCAGGCTATAGGCAAGCATGTAGGGCATTTTCTTAATTACTGATTGATGGGGGATGGCCCAGCCCATTGTGGGTGATGCCATCCCTGGGCTGGTGGTCCTGGGTCCTATAAGAAATCAGGCTGAGCAAGGCAGGGGCAACAAGCCAGTAAGCAGCACCCCTCCATGACCTCTGCATCAGCTCCTGTCTCTAGGTTCCTGCTCTGTTTGAGTTCCTGTCTTGACTTCCTTTGATGATGAACAGTGATATGGCAGTGTAAGCCAAATAAACCCTTTCCTTCCCAGGTTGCTTTGGCAATGGTGATTCACCACAACAATAGTAAAGACAACAGACCTCAACATAATAAAGACAATTTACAGCAAGCCCACATCCAACATCAACGTATATAGAGAGAAACTCAAAGCATTTCCACTAAAATCAGGGATACTCTCTCCATACCTCTTCAACATGGTACTTGAAGTCATAGCTCGAGCAACAAGACAACTGAAAGAGATCAAGAGAACACAAACAGGAAGGAAGAAGTCAAAGTATCTTTATTTGCAGATGATGTGAATGTACATATAAGTGACCCTAAAAATTCCACCAGGAAACTCCTAGAATCTGCAAAGCATGAGAATATATAATTAATAAATAAAAACCAGTACCCTGACTGTATACAAAGGACTAACTGACTGAGAAAGAAATCAAGGATACAGCACCTTTCACAAAAGCCTCAAAACAACAACAACAACAAAAATACCTTGGGGTAACTCTAACCAAACATGTGAAAGATTTGCATAATAAAAACTTTAAGACACTGAAGAAGGTATCAGAAGATGGAAAGATCTTCCATGCTCATTGGTAGGATTAACATAGTAAAAATAGCCAGTTACCAAAAGAATCTACAGGTTCAATACAATCCCCATCAAAATTTCAACACAATTCTTCACAAAACTTGAACGGACTTAATTCAATTTTTAGCTTTATATGGAAATACAAAAACAAAAACAAAAACAAAAAACAGGATAGCTAAAACACTCCTGAACAATAAAAGAATTGCTAGAGGTATCACCATCCCCAATCTCAAATTGTACTACTGAGCTACAGTAATAAAAAAAGAATGCATGGTATTGGCATAAAAGCAGACACATTGATCACCGTGTTTGAAGACCCAGACACAAATCTATATACCTATGCACACCTAATTTTTGATAGAGAAGTCAGAAATACACACTGGACAAAAGACAGCATCTTCAACCAAATGGTGCTGGTCAAACTGGGCATATTCATCTAGAAGAATGCAAATAGATCCATACTTATCACTCTGCACAAAACTCAAATCTAAACAAATCAAAGACCTCAACAAAGGACAGATTCACTGAACTGACAGAAGAGAGAGTGGGGAACAGCCTTGAACTCATTGGCACAGGAGACAACTTTCTGCACAGAACACTGGTAGCACAGGCATTAAGGACAATTATTAAATGGAACCTCATGAAACTGAAAAGACTAAGGACACTGTCCTTCAGACAGAGGGGCAGGCCACAGAATAAGAAAAGATTTTTACCAGCTACACATCTGATGGAGGACTAATATACAAAATATATAAAGAACTCAAAGAACTGAACAGAAAGCAAATAACCCAATTTAAAAATAAGGTACAGATCTAATCAGAGAATACTCAAAAGAGGAAACAGAAATGAATGAGAAGCACTTAAAGAAACATTTAACATCTTTAGCCATCAGGAAAATGCAAATCTAAACTACTTTGAGATTCCGTCTTACACCTGTCAGAATAGCCAAGATTTGTTGTAGGTTGTTTTTTACTCTTTTGGGGGGCCCACCATCCAGCTCCCAAATAAATCACTCACGGGGGCTTATTCTTAATTATGAATGCCCAGCCTTAGCTTGGCTTGTTTCTAGCCAGCTTTGCTTAACTTTAAATTATCCCATCTACCTTTTGCCTCTGGGCTTTTCCCGTTCTCTTCTGTAAATCTTACTCTTACTCCATGGCTTGCTGGTTGTGTAGCTGGGTGGCTGGCCCCTGGAGTCCTCCTCCTTCTCTGGCTACTTCATCCTATATCTCCAATCCCTCTTCCCAGATTTCTCTTTCTATTTATTCTCCCTCCCTGCCAGCCCCACCTATCCTTTCTCCTGCCTTGCTATTAGCCAGTTCTTTATTAGACCATCAGGTGTTTTAGACAGGCACAGTAACACAGGTTCAGAGTTAAACAAATGCAACATAAGCAAAAATAGTGCACCTTAAAATAATATTCTACTACAAAGATCAATAACACAAGTGACAGCTCATGCTGGTGAGGATATGGAGTAAGGGGAACACTCATCCATTGCTGATGGGAATGCAAACTTGTACAGCCATTATGGAAATCAGTGTGGCTGTTTCTTGGGAAGTTGAGAATAGATCTACCTGAAGATATAGCTATACCACTCCTGGCCACATACCCAAAGGTTTCTATACCCTACTACAGAGACACTTGCTCGACCATGTTTATTGCCGCTCTATTCATAATATCCAGAATTTGGAAACTGAATAGATGTCCACCAGTGGATGAATGGATAGAGAAAATGTGGTACATTTATACAATAGAATATTATGCAGCTGTTAAAAAATGAAATCATGAAATTCACAGGTAAACTGATGTGACTAGAAAAAAAAATCCTGAGTGAAGTAACCCAGACCCCAAAAGACAAATATGGTACATATTTGCTTACGTGTAGATGTTAACTGTTAAATCTTCCATAAGCAGGCTAAAATGTATATAACCACAGAGATTAGATATCGAGTAAGGGACTGGGGGAAAGATTGTATCACCCTAAGAAGGGGAAATAGAACAGACAGTTATGGATTGATGGGGGGAGCTGGAATAAGGGGATCAAATGGGGAGGGGATATAGGAATGGGGTGAGGGAGGGAATACAGGAAGGGAATATAGATAAAGCTAAGACCAATTTGAGGGTTTATACGAAAATCTAATACAACAGAAGCTTCCTAAATATATACATAGATGAAGGTGATCTAAGTGGAATCTCCAAATAATGGAGGAGGCAGACCCCCAACTGGACATCTCTTATCACCAAATGAATCTTCCGGTTCCGGGAATGGGTTACACCTAATGTAGTTGTTGGCTAAAGGGGCCCCATGGGAGCTCCCAAACAACCCAGGATATTGGTTGTTCTCCACAAACTGGTGATAAGGGTTCTATTGCTGAAGACAACACCTACACAACTCACTGAGCATGGAGAAGTCAAGCTGGTGCCTACCTGGAAGCTTCATCCCTACTGACTGGTGTTCATGGTCTGGAAGGTACTCTACCAAAGGAGAAACGTAAACACCGACCCCGCTACAAAACCTTCACTCTACAGTGGTGTGTTGCTTGTGGTTTTCCTTTGGCTCTTTTTCTGTTCCATTGTTTCTTTTGTCTTATTCAGGTTTGTTTGTTTTTGTCTTCTTTTTTTAACATGCCTATTTGCTAATGAGAGAGAGAGCAAAAAAAATACAGATTTGGAAGGGTAGGGAGGTAGGAAAGAACTGGAAGGAGTTGGGAGAGGGGAAACATAATCAAAATACATTGTTTGAAAAACATGTATTTTCAATAAAATAAAATAAAGCCTGGGGGTGTAAATCAAGAAAAGAAGATGTGCTGTGTGTGGTGGCACATGACTTTACTCCCAGCACTCGGGAGGCAGAGGCAGGCGGATCTCTGTGAGTTCGAGGCCAGCCTGGGCTACAGAGTGAGTTCCAGGACAGACAGAGATATGTAGAGATACCCTGTCTCAAAAAAAAAGGAAGGAAGGAAGGAAGGAAGGAAGGAAGGAAGGAAGGAAGGAAGGAAAGGAGGGAGGGAGGGAGGGAGGGAGGGAGGAAGGAAGGAAGGAAGGAAGGAAGAGCAAATCTCCCATTTGCTCCAGCTAAGGAGATCTGTTCGAGACAGCAGAGGAGGAGGCTCCACGATGGCAGAATGTCAAAGCCAGAGGACAGACAGCGGACACAGTTCCCAGGAAGGAACTCCTAACACGAGAAAGGCTGAGGGAGATTGCAGGTTTTGTGCAGCTGGGGGATGGAGCTCTGCTAGTGATGCCTGGTTCTTAAGAGGCAAGGAAGCCCATAGGAAGCAGGACTCACCTAACGGTTTCCTGCTTCTGTCTCCAGGCTGCACCCTCCTGAAACCTTGCTCCCATATAAGCCTCTCTGCTCTCATAGCATCCTCCCAACATCCCCACAGCATCCCCACAGTATCCCCCACAGCATCCTCACAGCATCCCCACAGCATCCCCACAGCATCCCCACATCATCCCCACAGCATCCTCACAGCATCCTCACAGCATCCCCCACAGCATCCCCACAGCATCCCCACAGCATCCCCACAGCAGCCTCCCAGCATCCCCACAGCATCCCCACAGCATCCTCACAGCATCCCCACAGTATCCCCCACAGCATCCTCACAGCATCCCCACAGCATCCCCACAGCATCCCCACAGCATCCCCCACAGCAGCCCCACAGCATCCTCACAGCATCCCCACAGCATCCCCCACAGCATCCCACAGCATCCCACAGCATCCCCACAGCATCCCCACAGCATCCCCACAGCATCCCCCACAGCATCCCCCACAGCATCCCCACAGCATCCCTGCACGGGGGACACTATTAGACTAAGACCACAAAATTTTAGCCTATGTCAATTTGCAGTCCTATGTAGGGAGACGCTTTTAACATATATGCCTATACATGCATATTTATTTTATGCATGAATATTTCATTCTCCCTAACTTCTTTTCCAAGCAGATTGACGGCTTAAAAAATAGCGCTGGCATCACTCTTCTCTCACAGCTTTACTTTACCCACAAAGTCTACTTTACCTGGCACCAGACATACCTATGAGGAAGAGAAATGCTACCACATCCAAAGGGCGTAAAGGTTCCCAGGACAACAGGATCCGGCCAGTCACTGAATATGTTGGTGTACAGGCCACCCCAAGGAAGGTCAGAGTAGCTTTGGCAGATAGCTAGGCGGCCAGAAGGATAGATGAAATCCAGGTTAAGGAACGGACTGACCAAGCAACAGGAATGTTAACTGTTCTTCCAGACAAAGATGTTAATTGTCTTTCTCACATACATTCTATTTTATATTTATTGATATTCTGAGTCAAAGTGTTGTTTTGCGTTTTTATTTGGGGGGGGTGTTGTTTGTTTTTGAGACAGAGTTTCCCTGTGTAACAGCCCTGCCTGTCCTAGAACTCTGAGGTCTGAACTTTGTAGACCAGGTTGGCCCAAACTCACAGAGATCCACCTGCCTCAGCCTCCTGAGTGGGGAGTCTAAAGAGTGACTCTTTCCCATCATCAGAGAGCATGTCCATGGTGGAGTGGACCAACACAGAAGCTTCCTGACTTCCAGGGGCATGTTCTCCATTCTCCCCATGGGGTCACATTCCTGGGCTTCATTTTAGCTCCACATTCTTCTGGACCCATCTGTGGGTTCTCACAGGGAGTCTGACAATACCGGTCCTGGTAATGGCAGTGTCTCTAGACACCAAGGTCGCTGGGTGCTACCTAGTGCCACCCAATGATAATGGTGCTGTCCCAGCAAAGAGTGGTGAGGGCAGGTCTCCCCATCGGCATCCATGGGTAGACCCAGGCCAGGCGGGGCTGAGGACTAACAACAGATCTGTGAGTCATTTTTGCAAAACTGGACTGTACAAACCTCTACAAGACGGACTATGATGGAATCTTGAAGCCTTTTTTTCATTTTGGGTTTGCAGGAACGGATTCCCCCCAAATCCCTCTTTTCTAGAAAGCTTCTCTAACGGCCAAGTCCCCACAGGGTCCTCCATTTCTCGGAGAAATGCCCTGGGGTGCTTAGCAAAAATATCAAAGGGTCTCTGAACATGAAGAAAGGTTTGGGAATTGGAGGCATGTTTCCACTCTGTTTGGGGGCTCCTTTTCCCGACCCAGTGTGTCAGGATGTGAATGCTTGGGGGGAAAGGAATTGAAGAAACACAGGCCTCTCCCTCAGTGTTTCCTGCTGGCTGGAAAGACCCAGCGTCAGCACCAACTGCCCAACACCGCCTCCTTCGCCCTCCTTGCCTCCGGGGACGCTCATGAGGATATTAGGTCAGAGACGAGCCATCTACCAGGGCATAATGGAACTTCTTCATCTCTGGCTTCGCCTCTCCCATCGCTGGCATCTGGGCCTTCCCCACCAACAATGCCATCCAGAAAACCCGGGGCTCCTGGGTGGACTCTGCGGTCTCCTCCTCTTCTTCCGGGTCGTTGTAGTGGCGCAGGACGGGCTGTTTGTTGAACCCGCCTCTCTTTTGTTTGGCTTCTTCCATTTTTCTGTACAAAAAAAAAAAAAAAAAAAGAATTCAAGACATGGCTGTTTCCTTGGTCTTAGCCGCCTAATGACTCAGAGGCCGCTGTGGCCTCCTCCTGTGTGGCTACTGTAATCGGTGGCCTTTAAATCAGAAGAGCAGGAGTTTGAAGTAGATTCAACCCAGCCCTTAGGCAGGCCGTCACTAAGTGTTTTCCATTTTTGAAGATTTATTTATTTATTATGTATACAGTGTTCTGCCTACATGTTTGCCTGCAGGCCAGAAGAGGGCGCCAGATCTCATTACAGATGGCTGTGAGCCACCATGTGGGTGCTGGGAATTGAACTCAGGTCCTCTGTCTGGAAGAGCAGCCAGTGCTCTTAACCTCTGAGCCGTCGCTCCAGCCTGTGTTCTCCATTTTTAAACAGTTACTAAGTACCTCCCGTGGGTGGACGCACCAAATAGGCCCCAACCTCACAGGAACTGAGAATTAAGTTGAGAACTAATTCTTCCATGTGGCATTGAACATTTGAGACAAAATACTAACTCCCCCTAAGCCTTATATTCTTGACCTGTAAAATAGGGCTAAATAGATCTCACAGATGGGCTGGAGAGGTGGCTTAGTGGTTAAGAGCACTGGCTGCACGCAACCTAAGTCAGAAGCTCATTTTTTAATAAAAGGGGGACCTGCAGGGTCCTGGCCCCCGTTTTGGGTACCTGTTGCCTTGCTTGCTGACCTTGACCTTGATATCCTCCCTGTGCTAATTCCCTGCCGGGTTCCACCCTCCTAACTGCTTAAGGGAAGTTCCTTGTCTGTGTATCCTACATAATGGGCATTAACAGCTTAGATGCAAGATTGTAAAACATCAGTATCGAACTTCTGCCCTCTGGGGTCCTCCCATTGTGCTGTAAGCCTGTATTTAAGACCTTTCCCCTCCTTCAATAAACAGCATTGGGCATTAAAAAAAAAAGCCACCTATTAACAATAAAGAAAAATTAAGATAAACACACACACACACACACACACACACACACACACACACACACACACACACCAAGAGTACTGGCTGTCCTTCCAGAGGACCAGGGTTCAAATCCCAGCACCCACACGGCAGCTCACAAGTGTCTGCAACTCCAGCTCCAGGGGATCTGACACCTTCACACAGACAGACAGACGACAGACATGCAGGCAAAACATGAATTCACATGAAACAAAAATATGTCACAGAAATGTAAGTATTCTTTGTTCAGTGTGTGCATGTGCGCATGCACACATACATGCATACACACACTTGGACTCCATAAACGCTGCTTGTATTCATTACAATTCTTCAGGGGGCATGAATGTGTTATTATTGAGCATGTGATGGCAAAGGAAGAAGGGGCTGAACAGAAAACCAACTAGTTTCGAGGTTTCAAACTAAGACAGGGAGGCAGGCTCTAGAACACGGAGTCAGTCACGTACAAGTATAAACTAGGCACCTTCTACTGGGCAAAACCAGCTTTCCCATAGGAAGAATACTGATTATCACCATTCTAAAGACAGTGCCCACGTTACACAGCCTACATGTAAAGCCAGGGTTCGAGGCCACACCTCCAAGATCCACCAAATCAGCCACTGGAAACAACCCTTCTATGAACCCAGCCCAGCTTTTTGACCCCAACACATGCAAACACACGAATGTGGGGAAACCCACATACGTTTGCACGCCCAAGCATGCCAAGTAAAGCTGTTGGCCAAACACCATCAGGAGAGGCCAGGAGCCAGGCTTGCAAGGATGAGGTCACACACCCGAGAGACCTTTATGGCTCTCTTGCAGACCATCATTACCTATTTACCCAAGCATGGACTGGCCTCTTCTCCACGGTCTCAGTGACCAGAAGTGCACTGTCGAGCTCCTCAGATATTTAGACAGAACAGAGGGATGGAATCGGGTAGTTCCCGGTACTTGAGAAGGATGGGAAGTACCAGGACTCTGATGAAGAATGGAAAGCTTCTAGAAGATTTAGCATGTTGAAGTGGATATAGAGAGAGCTAAAAACAAATGGATTTCAGAAACAGTATGGAAAAAAATGTCTAAAATTGCCCTGGGCAAGACCCTTCAGACAGGCACATCATCAGATCAGGAAGTGTGGTGCTGTCACGTTGAGATGCACTTGAAATCTAGAATGGAGATGACAGATGTCAACAAGGCTCTTGGGGTGTTTGGGTGAACTGGATTCTGTGTGTGTGTGTGCACATCAGGAGTGGAGTGGCCGCGGCCTGAGTGAATGAATGCACACATTTTAATTGTGCAGGGAAGGGTTTGGAGTGTGAAAAGAGGTATACTGAAAAGGGATGTGTAAAAAGGATTAACAGTAGAATGTAGGGAATGGCTCAGTGATTAAAACCCTGGCTGCTCGTCCAGAGGACCCAAGTTTGATTCTCAGCCCCCAGGTGGTTACTAACAACCATCTGCAACCCTAGTTTCTAGGTATCTAACGCCCTTTTCTGGTCTCTGCAGGCACTGCATGCATGTGGTAACTGCAGGCAAAACACCCGTAACACAACATTTTTTAAAAAAGGTTAAATTCAGGTGGATCTCTGTGAGTTCAAGGCCAGCCTGGTCTACAGAGTGAGATCCAGGACAGGCTCCAAAACTACACAGAGAAACCCTGTCTTGAAAAAAAGAAAAAAGTTAATTTTTTTTTTAAGAAGGACTGAGTAAATAACTGAAAATAATGCAGCTGATTAACAAAAAGAGGAGGTGGTAGCCACGCCACTTTTGAAGAGAGCAGAGCCAGGGTCTCTCTCCGTGTTCTGTGTCTTCTCTTGCTTCCCTTTCCTTCCCCCTTTCTCTCCTGTCTTCTCACAAGTGAGAAACAAATAAGTTATCAAGATTTAGACGAGTGGCTGGCCCTGCCATGTGCAATCCCTGTCCACGGCCCTGGAGATGAAGCTGGGCTTGGAGTCAGAGACTGCAGGGTCCTGTGACTTCTCAGAGTCCTGTGGACAATGGCTGAGGGGACAAACCATATGGGAAACGAGGAAAAAATAAACAAACCAAGTGGGCAGAATTTGTTAGCAATGTGACGGAGGCAAGACCCTTATAGATCGCCTTGCTGGAATTCATGCACACCACCTCCATTTATAATCATTGGGGGTGAGGGGCAGAATGGCAGCTACGACACATATTTAGAAACCCATCCAGAATCCTGAATCTAATTACCATTTCCCCAGACCAGACCCTGGCTCTTCCAATTGTTGCCTAGACATGGTTCTACTTTCCTTGATTTTCTGCAAACGAACCTTTTGAACTGTGCTAAAAGAAAGCAAGCGTGCCTCTCAAGTATAAATCCCTTTCATCACTGGGGAAAGCCTTCTCCCTCCTTCCCAAAGGGGCCAGAAATTAAGATACGAAAGTTCCTGTGCACAAATCTACAGGGTGGAAACTTCTGTATCTATAAATGCCATGTTAGTCAAATACTGAGTGGGTGGTGGTATTCGGAAAAGCCCCATTAGCTTTTAAAAGCACTGCTCTCTCTTCTATCGCCCTTAGCAGGTTCACAGACACAGCGGCCTTTTATGTACAGACCAAGAGCCCCAGTGTGGGCAAGGGTGATCTTTCTGTTGACTTTCTCATGGCCTTGGCAGTGATCTCTGGTTTGAGGGGGGCAGAACCTAATCCCTGGCTTCTCCAGCAGCTGAAAATTACCTCTAGGTTCCCGGAAAATCAGCCTAGGAATCCCGTACAAGCGAAAGGCAGTATAAGGTGATGGGGAGTCACTGAATGAAGGACAGAAGTGTGCATTGAGAGTGTGTCGCCTGCCTCACAGATGAGACTCAAAGTACAAAAGAGAACAAACGCTGAACAGTATGTTCACCGGGCTGGGGCGCTGGCCGCATCTGTGGAGGGCTGGAGAGCCACTCCATCTGTAGAGGGCTGGAGCACTGGCCGAATCTGTAGAGGGCTGGAGCACTGGCCACATCTGTAGAGGGCTGGAGCACTGGCCACATCTGTAGAGGCCTGGAGCACTGACCACATCTGTAGAGGGCTGGAGCACTGGCCACATCTGTAGAGGGCTGGAGCACTGGCCACATCTGTAGAGGGCTGGAGCACTGGCCACATCTGTA